TGGGCGGGTGGGTGCGAGGGAGGGAAAAGTGGAAATAAGATACAAACTGAAACTACTACTTCTCCTCACCCGGTGCCCCTACGTGTACGTCTGCTTCCAGGGACCACGAGTCGGGCAACATCCTGGACAACCTGCTGTCGCGCATGGAGCAGTACGCCAACAACCTCGAGTTCCTGGTGGACGAGAGGACCAGCGACTACCTCGAGGAGAAGCGCAAGTGCGAGGAGCTGCTCTACCAGCTGCTACCAAAGTAAGTGCGCGCGACCACGCAGCCCCAACCACTCACCAGCGCTCGTTCTCCAATGACCCTATCTCTGCTGTCCTCCATCCACAGGTCGGTGGCCAGCCAGCTCATCTCGGGCCAGTCCGTGATGGCCGAGACCTACGACAGCGTGACCATCTACTTCAGCGACATCGTCGGCTTCACCTCGCTGTCGGCTGACTCGACGCCCCTCCAAGTCGTCGACCTGCTCAACGACCTGTACACGTGTTTCGACTCCATCATCGAGAACTTCGACGTGTACAAGGTGAGCGGGAGCTAGCGAACGCTCCATATTGCGCCGGGACGAGGCGGGTGACAACGCGTCGACGAAATACCGTTGCAACGAAGGGAAATAAAAAAAGTACCAGAGGAACGGGGAATGATTGAAAACGGGAGAGCGGAGCGGCTGACTCAATGTCGCCGTCAGCTGGAAAGCAATGAATGAACACGAGCCGTCACATCGGCCGGCGCCGCGGGGGCGGAGATATCTCTATCCGGTGTCGGGGCGGGCCGGGCGGCGGAGGCTGCAGCGCCCGGGATTGTGTTTCCTACCCTGCCACGCCCCGCACCGCCACGCCTGCCACTCGGCTGCTTTCAGTAACTTCCGTCTTTTCTTTACTCTCTCTCTTTCCTCCCTTTTCGCCCCCGCCAAGGCGACAAACACGACGTCATCCCTGTCGCTTTTGTGCCCTGCAGGTCGAGACGATCGGCGACGCCTACATGGTGGTGTCCGGGCTGCCCGTGCGGAACGGCCTGCAGCACGCCCGGGAGGTGGCGCGCATGGCGCTGGCGCTGCTGTACGCCGTCAGGGACTTCAAGATCCGCCACCGGCCGGGCCTGAGCCTCCGCCTGCGCATCGGCCTGCACAGCGGTGGGTGCAACTGCAGCGACGCGGACACACCCCGCGCCGCGGGCCGGGCGGGCCGAAGCGCGGGGTAGGTACCGCAGCGCGGCGCGTCGCCACTCACCATACTCACCTGTGTCGCTTCCGATTTGCAGGGCCGTGCGTCGCCGGGGTGGTGGGGCTGAAGATGCCCAGGTACTGCCTGTTTGGCGACACGGTCAACACGGCGTCCCGGATGGAGAGCAACGGCGAAGGTAACGAGCGGGGGATGGGGACGGTCGGTCGATGGGATGGAGTGAAGCGTTTGGGGGGTGAGGTTTGAGGTCGGTGCGGTGTGGTGCGCAGTGGATCAGTGGGATCGGGGGCGAGGGGCTGGAGCTGGAATGTCGGCGTGAAAGAACATTCCTCCATTTTTGCGGGCGACAGCCGATGTGGCCGATGTCGCTGGTATGCCAGTCGACGCGGTGCGGTTGGTCGGGTTGACGGGCACGAGGGGGGGGGGGGGGAGGCTTGCCTTGCGCAATACCCTGTCGTGCGCGATGGTCAGTGATTCTATTCTTGTCTGTGCTCCTCAGCGCTCAGGATCCACGTGAGCCAGGCCACCAAGACCATCCTGGACGCCTTCGAGACGTTCGAGCTGGAGTGCCGCGGCGAGGTGGAGATGAAGGTAGAGTAACGCCTCGAAAATGTGATACTTTCTGCTCTTGTAAAGGACGGAGACTCACGTGGCTCTCTTTACGCGCAGGGCAAGGGCCGGCAGGTGACGTACTGGCTGCTGGGGGAGAGGAAACCCCCGTCCTCGGCGACGGCCGCCCCCGCGGTCTCCGCCGCCGCCGCCACC